GGAGTGCGAATTGTGCAAAAGGCCACCCTAAGGCTCAGGAAGGTCCTATAGGAAATCCCTTTTGGGTTTCCTCATGTTGGTTTCGTCCTTCTAAGTGCTAGAAGTTGATACCACACACGCGAAACTCCAGAAGGGGACGGAAATAGGTCGAACAAAAACGAGGCGGGCACCACTTCTAAGGTGCTAAGATAGTCGCAGGAAGACCCCTAAGGCTAGATCCTAATTCCTACGAGAAATACTAGACCTCACGAAAATTGAGGTCAACAGAGGCCAACAACGATCATTCGCGAGACTATAAGTCGCAATTGCTCGTAACCATCGAACCTCTCATTACAGTCGTCATTTGAGCTAGCTGGGAAACCAAAGACGAGATTGCGGGGTACAAAGTTCTGCCTTAGTGATAGAAAACATTCAGAGAGTAACAGCAGCCGAAAAAATTAATATTCTAAAGAAAAAATTAGAGAAAGAGTTGAGTAAAATTAGATATGAAATTGTTGAGAATTTATCTCTTATGGAGAGACAATTTTTATCTGTGGAAGGGAGATTCATGGTTCCGGAGAAAATGAAGAAGAAGATCATGGAGTTTCACGCTAACTCATTGTCGGCCGCTGCAGGATCAAGCGGAATAGTTCAGAGGGGACACGAGCGACGACAATCTGAAGGATTTGTGTGGGGCATCAATGCAATGTCGTTGTTTTAGGTGATCTGAGGTTGCGAGATCAAGCAAAAGAATCGAGAGCTGGCTTGAGCAATAACACTTAGAAGGAATAGCGTGCCATCAGGACGGTTGGAACAAACAGAAGTACATGTGATTGAGCGAAGGAGTTGGAAGCGTATTCGAGCGGCAATATTTTAAGGAATTGCACGACATTTAGCAGTTTGGAATGAGCAACAACGAGCATAAAATAAATTAGAAGGATTTTGGTCGAGAACAAGGAAACCACTATAGGTGCAAGCCCAAAGGAGGGCTTTGCTGTGGCAGCCTTTCGAGCGGAAGGTGATTAATGAGTAATGATGGGAATGAGACAAGTTGAGAAGAGCGGGGGAGAGTGTAAGGGACTGATTATTCAGAAGAGAGACAAGATGGCGACGCTTCATGATGACCCAGTTTATGCAATACCTTAGTAAACTCAAGACCATGTAAGGGAAATTCAGAACAAAGGGCTTAAATTTTGGATCGAGTTGCATAACATGGAAAAGACGTGCTACAAAGTTGATAAAGATTTCAGTGATGAGCTACTTGATGAGTTCTATGGGGATGCAGTATTCTCTAAGATTAACTTGAATTCAGGGTACCAACAGATTTGGATGCGGATAAAAGATGTGTACAAGACCATTTCGAACTCATGAGGATCACTACAAATTTCTGGTTAAACAAAAATGATTATCAAATGATGTTGCCGCGTGAGAGCCATACGATTTGATCAAGCAATTTTTTTTTTCACCTTGAGAAAAATGTGTCTTATTGGGAGGCGAGTAATGTTAGACCGACGCTTAAGGGCAATATAGTATTTTATTGTTTATTAATGCTTAGTATAAATAAAGCTAATATGTTTAAAATTAGAGTTATGCTATGAGATTATTGTCTTGATTCTTAGGATTAGGGTTTGGGAGAGATCGTCTACCTTTCGAATTGTAGGTGTTAAGGCCAAAGTATGGGGGAGATTGTTTACCTCTCGAATTGTGTGTCCTTATCTTTATGTATTTGAGTTGTATTATTTGTTTTTAATCAAATTAGCCCTAATTTGAATTTTCCCATATATTTCTTGTAATTTGTTCTTTGATTTTGGCCCCGATTTGTATCATGATCCTACTATGTGTATGGCAATCTGATGCATATGTTGAAGTAATATCTTCATCTCACTCATCTGATAAACCATCTATCAATCATGATTGAGTTATATTTTATCTGCTTCATTTTCATGGCTTCAACCAATCCATCTCATACTTCATAGCCATTATTTTTTATAAATCTTTGCAAATAGATGTTGCTATTTCACTTAAAAAATATGTAGATTGATTCATTGTCTTAGGGAAGAAGAACAATTTGAAAAAATTCCTTATTATTCTTGTAAAATTTTTTGACACAATATCTCTAAATGTTTAAGGCTCATCAGAAACTAAGGAAATCAAACATTTAAGTGCAAAGGGAGCATACAAATGATCAAATTATACCTTCAAACTTGATGGTCATAGTTGTTATTTCGGATGAAGCTTGCATTAAAAATTTGATACTAGCACTAAACATTTTCATAAATTCTAAGAGTCTTTTGAACCTACCTCTAATATAAGCCACAAAGATATTTTCGCTTATTTGCATGCATAAATGTTGACCATGATCCACCAAATATAATCCCCAAACAAATCAATCATTAGCAATGTTGGATTAAATTAACCATAGCCAATGATTATAAGCAATTTTCACCATCATCTAATCATGATTTAATGGTCACTATTTGTTGACATTAATAATGATTGGCTTCAACCGATAATGATCAATGATTACTAGGTCATAATAAATTGTTGGATGAAGTACAGATAATATATTCAAACCATTAATTAGGAATTCAAATTCATTTAACGAAATTAATAATTCAATTATATTATAATAATTTTAAACATTTATAATTTAAAACTAGCAAAAGGACATAATTTGTAAAATAGTTTTAAAAGTAAATATCATCAATTTATAAAATAAATTTAATATATTGCTTAATTTATTGTGTATTTTTCAATTATTATAAATTAAGTTAAATTTAAAAAAAAATACAAAAGTTTGAAAAAATTATCATAGATAATATTAGGACACTTTAAAATTATAGATTATTTTTTAAATAATTAAAATAACAATTTCTATTATCCTAAATCATTTAAACTGTACAATTATTAAAATTATGAAATTGGACTTTAATAATTAAAAATAGTTAAAATCCTTTTTTTATTTCTCAAATACAAAAACTACTTTGAAGAAATAAAATAAAAAACTTTTAATTTTATTAATTATTCATCAGATTGAATGAATCAATAGTGAATTAAGGGGATTCAAGAAAACTTAAAGAAACTTAAATATAAACTCTCCTTTTAAATTTAAATTATTTTTAAGAAAATAGATATTTTGTATTTTCTAATTTATATCGACTGTCTAAATTCCCTTATGCTTTATAATTATTATAAACTTTAGATTATTTATACAAATTCAGAAAATCACAAAAATGTCCAGACAATTCAAATTGATTATTTATAAACCCCAAAGAATCTTTTTAGAATATGGGACTTAGATGTCATAATTAAATGGCATTATAAGTCTAGCCTCAGCACCTCTTATGAGTGTTGCTTAGTTGTGAGACACTAAATAATACTCAAGAATTTCAAGTCACAAATTATTCAATCTTTAATTATAGATCAAATCTTGATAGCGATATTATTAAAGAACTAATTTCAACTAGAAGTTATTGAGGTTGGAAATTTAAATAACATAAACTAATAAAAACAAAATATAAATATTTGATTTTAATGTCCTTGGTTTCCTAGTCATAAGCTCCTCAATTTTGATGAAGTCTTTATTTGCAATCATTTTCCTCATATAAATTATAAATTACAATCCTCTACTGAAAGTATTCTTAAATATCATCGCCTAAGATGCAATTAGCTCTAGGGTTTTGCCTCTATAAAGAACTGTAACACTCAAAACAAGGTTAGCATCACTTGCTAAGAAGAGAAATCTAGGATACACTATTATGTCATCCAAGTACTTGTTTTATTATTTAATCCTTCAAGATAATTTTGTGGTTCATTCAAAACCATTGCTTCCATTGAAATTGATTTCTTGTTTTAGTGAGATTACTTTAGCATCCCCATTAACTATATCATAGAGAATTTGATATGTTTTGTTGCTATATAAATTTTGATACTGGATGTTACTGTGTCACAAAAATTGGGTGTTCTTATTTATGCGGTTGCTAAGTTGATCCCTATCAACTTTATGTCGTGCAAGTTTATGCAAGAAATCATTAAGGTTCCAAACTCAACAAAAGATCAAAACAATTTAGATTTCCTTTCACTGCATTTTGCATATGTTCTTTTTCATCATATGCATACTTTATGTTGCAAGTTAAAAAAAAAAAAAGCTTTATGTCGCAAGTTTACTTTATGTTTAAATGAGAATTTGATCCAATAATATTATTCTAATGGGTATTGTAGGCATGTACTAGTTTATAAGTAGATAATCCTTTATGTGGTAATCATAGTATTGATGAATTAATAAAAGGGTCCTGTAATTCCTCATTTTTCTTACTTTTCTTCTAGCCAACCGTAGGCATCCCTCCTTGCCAAAAGTCCTCTCTCCTATCATCTTCTCCCTATTTGCTCTTTTTTCGCGCTTTGCCTACACATTCAAGGAAAAATCCAAATCCATTTCAAAAATATCAAGCACACAGAATTGATTATTTTATAAATGATTGAAGTATAACCAAGTTCTAGTTTCCATCAATTGGTACAATAGTCGTCTTTTCCTACAAAAAAATAAAAAGGATTCAGGCAATTGAAGGAGGGTATCAAAGTAATACTTTTCATACAAAGAAGATATATAATAATTTGAGGGCTTTCTTTCATTCCTCCTCTTCATGATCAAGCTCTTTCTCATGGTTTCAGCAAACCTTAATCCTTACAAAACCTAAATCAAACCTTAATTCCAAAATCAAAATCCCTCAACTCCTCAACTCTACACTCCCTTGCTCCTAGTCTGGCTTCCCTCAAAATCCTATAGATTTTGTTCATGAAAGTTAGACAATACTTTGATCATCTAACCACTGTTAGAATAATGCACTTCATTCAAGCCAAAATGAACAAGGGGAACTATGAAACAAAAAGAAAAGAAGCAATAATTCAACTTACGAAACACCAAGGTTAAGAATGTCTTCAACCCAAATTTCACCTTTCTTCTCAAAGCCGCATCTGTTCTGTAAAGTAAAATAATAAGCAAGAGGTCCAGGACATCTATATAAAAGAAACTGTAATGTTGCATACTTAGTTGCACTGAATAGGTGGGTCACAAATGACACTTTTCCAGCAGAGTACGTACGACCAGGTCCAGTAACTTACTGGATTGAACTTAGACGTGCATATCTGTTCAATGTCTGATTTTGTTAAAATCCCAACATCGACAAGTTCCATAAGCTCTTTTCCTGAGATATTCCACTCTTGCTCCCTCTGATTAACCAAACACATCCTTTGGTAAGAAAGGGTTACTATAAGCAATTGTCAAATTACAATATGTTATAGTATATAATATATTTTACCCCCTTAAGCTGGTTTCTTTCCACAATGCCCACATGTAGGCCTCTAGAAACTAGTGCTGTAGCAATAAAAATGCCTAGAGTGCCACCACAAACTATTACATGGAATATGCATTTGGAATTGTTCTTATCCACCTCACTGCCAAAGGAAGGACCAGAAATTCGAGAAATAACTTTGTAGCTATCCCTTTCATCTGCAAATAAAAAAATTAGATCATAAAGGACTTGGAATTTAGAATTACACCTCCACATATCACATATGTATGCTCTAGAACATAAGCAAACACTAGAGAGCTCAAGAAATGTTTTATCATTATTCTGATTAAAATAAATAAAAAATAAAGATCCTGCAAAGGCAATGACCACAATTGATATAATATGATCGGTATTAAGAACAAGAAAGTGAGATAAATAGAATAGCTAAGACAAAAAAATAAAATTTCTAGAGATTTTGATCAAGTAAGATGCATTAAAATAAAGATGATAAAATTATTGATTTAAGGTAAACATACTAAGAATTGATGAAAATTTTACTACGAGAAAACACTAAATAAGAATTTAAGGAGAAGTTATTATTAAAAAGCATAGCATACAATATAGTAACTATATAAAAATTAAAATAGCATGGTTCCATATTTGATATTTATTGAGTTTTGGAGAGTTATGAGGATATTGTGTTGATTTGATCAACAAATCTTTTAATAAAATCAACAAGATGGTAAATGCTTTCAGCAAAAGTATTTTGGTACAAATATTTGAGAACAAAGACAGCATTCAAGACTGTACTAACGACAAAAAAAATTTAACTTATGAATAATAAAATAAAACTATGAGAGTGAGTAAGGAAAAAAAAGCTTAGAAAAATTATATCAACTTTGCGGAGACAATTTAATTTGATCTGAGGAAGATCTACTATAGATGTAATTTTTTATTTAAAATAATAAATGAAGAAGCATAGAAAATATATAAATGATCTTCATACAATTTTTATCGAACAAAATAAAGAGTATAATCAAGTACCATGAGAATTGATTTAGTGTGCTTTAAAACAAACAAGGTGTGTCAAAATAATAATAATACTATTAAATAAAAATGTGATATAAGTAGCTGAAGAGTGGCCCAGGAGTTTTTAATTATCATAGGTTTTATCAATGATCAATATTATGTGTATTTTTTATTGGATATGAAGATGCATTCTCAAGGCAAATTATGAAGTTTTAATTGGTGAACCATTTACTAAAATTAATGAAAATTTAAACAAATTAAAAAATATTTTGAAGAAAAAGGCTTCATAATTACTAGAGCAAAAGAAGATATATAATATGTAATTTTAATTGGCATGAACATATCAATTATAATTTAATAAAATTAAATGATAAAGCAATACATAGGTATGATAAGTTTAACTTAAAATTATCATAAAAGAAAAATAGAGATATGGATGAGAATATAACTTTTGGAATTAAAATTTCATGATTAAAATAGAGAAGTTTCATGAGTAGTTCAAAAACGTATATCATGGAGACAGAGAGACAAATTTTATAAAATCTTAATTAAGTTGGCAATATTATATGAATCTGAAAAATAATGCTCTAAAAAAATTCATTAATACTTAAGTATAGCAGAAACAAGAATGCTAAAATGAATGTGCGAAAAACTTATGAAGAATAAATAAAGAATGATTATATTAAAAAAATATTGAAGTAGCATCTGATGAAGATAAGGTGAGGGTGACAACAAACAACTAGGAAAAAAAAAGGCATTTTATACTTTTCCATCACTAAAGTCTATTTCTAAAACATATGCTTAGAATTTATTATAATTGATTTACAAAGAATAGATTAAACATCACAATGCACCTTCAGAAAAATGAATGAAAAATAAGAATACGCAAGACTGGCCCCAGATAGCTGGGATAAGGCTAATGATGATGATGATAAGAAGGTCAAAACCAAATAGCCATACATATATTTGTGTTGTTTATGTATTATGTGATCATGTGCTCCTATATAAGAATGCACGCACGAACTGTTGCTTTGTTCTTTCAAGTTTAAAGATCTGAGTTAGTAATTGATTTATCTCAAATGTAGAGTGTGAAGTTCCTCAGACACTATGCTTCTTCTTACTCTCTCTTTGTAATTGTTCATCTCTCTCTCTTTCCTTTGGTTTCATATTTTTCTCTTCCACTACACCACCATCTTACTTGAAGGTTTCATATTCTGCACTTACACTATGTAACGAAAAGCGATCATTTTTCAAAAGTCCCGAAAAAAAAAATTTCCTCGGACGTTGATCTTCAGCAATTTAAACTTAATGCTAGATTACTGCATTTGAGTAAAGAGGATCTACATAATATTTTTGTTGATTTAGAAAAAACTTATGATAAGGTTTCAAGACAAGTTTTTTGGAGAGTTTTGGAAAAAAAATATGTTGATATAACTTATATTCAAGTCATTAAAGATATGTATCCTAGAGTTGTTACTAGTGTTCAAACTGAATGAGGATTGACCAAGTATTTTCCTATTTTAGTTGGATTACAATAGGGATTGGCTTTAAGCCCATTTATTTTGTATTAGTTATGAATGCTCTTACTAGACATTTACAGAAGGATATTCCTTTATAAATATTTTTCGTTGATGATATCCTTCTTGTGGATAATATTAGAGAGAGCTCAGGAAAATTTGAATTATGGAGATCTACTTTAGAGTCTAAAGATTTTCATTTGAGTAGGTATGAAATTAAATACATGGAAGGTAACTTTAGTAGTAATAGTAACAAATTTGTAACTATGGTTAATCAAATCATTAAAAGGAGGTCTATTGTTCAAAGTGATGAGGAAATGGAAAGGATAATATTAGTAGAATACTAGAATTCAAGTTGGATGGTTAAAATCAAGGAATGCATCGGACTTATTGTGTGATAGAAAAGTACCACTTAAAAGGAAAATTTTATTAGATGGTGCTGAGACCTACAATGCTTTATGGCGCCAAATGTTGGCCGATAAAAGAGAAGCATAAAACTAAGTTAAGTTTTGTTGAGATGAGAATGCTTAGGTGGATGAGTGGCTTTACAGTTGAAAAAACGAATATATCCATGAAAGGGTTGGTGCAGCTCCAGTGGCAAATAAAATTAGAGAGAGTCGTATGGTTTGGTGACATTAAACGTCGACCATCTGAGGATTCAGTTAGGAGATTAAACGTTTTAAACATGACTTATGTTAAGAAAGGTAGAGATAGGCCTAAAAAAACTTGGGCACATTGCATAAAAAATGATCTTAATTTATTAAAATTAAATGAAAATATGACACTCAATGGGACACAATGGAGAAAAAAAGATACATGTAGTCGACTTAGTGAGATCAAGGCATGTTGTTGTAGTTATTGTTGTTGTTGCTAAATCACTGCATATTCACAAGCACAATTACTTTTTAGAGCTCCATTATTAAACTATTCTCAACTAAAAATAAACAATTATTAAAAAGATGATTATGCATGGGGAAAATGGATTTTAGAGATGAGCACTCGCAGTCGCTATCGTGAATCCTTATTGCATTGGGCATTTCTTCTGAACAGCTCTCAATTCAGGCATTTCTTCTCTAAATGACTGATATAGATCTTGGCCCTAATAAATTGCAATCCCGCCTCAAGAAGAAGATGCGGTTGCCTTAGTCTTTTCAGCTCTCTTATGAGTTAAATACAAAGACTTTGTGCTTCAGTAATGTGAGTTTTGTGTCATATAACTGTCATTTTAGGTGCAATCTAAGTGAGCATCTAGCTACATGATTTTTAACTAAAAAAATATCTATTAAAAACTGAATAATACCTGGTGGAGTCGTTGCACATATGTTAGACCATAGACGGTCCAATCTTTTCAAAGCTTCATAAGAGTAAGAGCCTCCAGCACCTCCTACTTCATCGTGTGTTGAAATTCTCTCCATTATCCTCTACAATTTAAGGAACATTAAACCAATTAGCTACAAACCTAACTTAGCTTCCAGCAATAGCAAAAAGCAATATTTATGTTTAAGTTCCTAATAAATTGAATAAATAAGATAGCACTCAAAGATTGATAAAACGGACAATTGAACCAACCAGCCTAAAATGATGATTAACATCACTGATTTCACTTTCATCATAAGAAAAAAATAGAATCGTCGTATAATTCACTTTTGACAAAAAGTAAACCCCAACAAGGAAAGGGCTGGCACTTGCATTTATTAAATTTTGAGAGGTTTAGAACTTCAAAACTGTTTGTTATAAATCTTGCTAAATATTAACATGCTGTTTAACCATACATTTCAAGAATTAACTTTTCTGAAGGATATAAATCCTTAAATCCCTTATATCATTTGAATGATGGGATTTAGCAACTACTAAATTTAATCAATAACTGAGCTGAAACGGGATCTTTCAAAAACGATGGGATTTAAAGTCCCAAGCAACTGTTGGACAGAATTTAAGCTAAATCTTACTTAAATCCTGGCTAAAATAGTACACCAAACATATCCTTGGAAAGCAATCCTTCAGAAGATTCATGAGATAGTAGCATAAGTAGAAAATCCATTTGCCCTATGATACCGCATCACTGAAATCGACCCAAATAGTTCTTAGACTATAAAGGAGACGTATCACCTGAGTCCTAGAAGGAAACGCGGCGCGTGGTGAATGGGCGGCCGATCGTCGTCTCCGGCAAAAAGCAACTCCGATCCTGATCCCTGGTATAACTCGCCTCGTGGAGGATGGCTGGGAATAATAGAAGCCATGGCCGAGGGTCTCGCGTTGGATATGGAGCACGAGCGCCATGGCGGGAGACTTCTGCAGACTACCAACGTCTTATCCGTCTCGCAAGGTTTTTTAAAAAGATATAAAACACTAAATTTCATTGTATTTTCATATCTAACAAAACCTTAATTTTTACATAACTAAAATGGTGATGTCTAATATGTGATATGAATATTTTGGGTGGCTTACAACTCAAAATATAGATGTTAGATGAGTATAGACAATAGAAATTGGGCCATTTGCATGTAAATGCCCCGTTTTTATCTTAATTATTCTTTATTTTATTTTCAATAAGTAACCTCACTCAATATTTTTATTTTCTAGAAAATTCTGCCCAAAAATAATATATGTAATATATATATATATATATATATATATATTTGAAAGCTCAAAAATTTTTGTAGACTTTTGTGCCATGTTTACCTTGGCAAAAATCAGAGGTTCATTTAATACTTTTCTCTTAAAGAAATATTAGAATTTAATATTTATGCAATTTTTAAGTTTAAAGCCCTAAATCAGGTAATATATCCTTAAAACATGTAGTTTGTGTGTGTGTGTGTCTATTTTTTTTATAGAAATCCCAAAAAGGCTAATATATTAATCAGAAAGAAATATATAGATACAATGTGTTAGAAGGCACAACATGACACCTTGCCAACACCAAAACCAGAAGGAGTTCCAAAACTAGAAAATACAGAAAAGTATATTAGAGATAAAGAAAAAGTCTAAAAATATTGAAATACATAGTATTAAGGAGATGCCTAATCAAAAAATGGCTTCACTTGAATCAACTTGAGGAAAGAGCTTTATTACATTTTCTAAACTTATATTGTAGTATTAGTAGCATTCCAAATAAAGTTTTCATGATGTTACATGACACCCTGTCTACACCAAAACAAGAAGAAATTCCAAAACTAGAAAATACTGAAAAGTACATTAAAGACATCACTTCGAAATATGATCAATATTAATCTATCAAAACTAAAATGTACTTTCACATAATTTAAGCACAAAATTTTTAACATAATAAATGAAAATTTTTAATTAGATGCGCAGATACCTAAAAACGATTACGCATGAATCTATCTTCCTTTTATGTAATCGCAATTGTTTGGATTCAAGCCTAGGTGGTACTTAAAGTTAACCAGACATGCTTGAAAATAATTTGAAAAAAATGGTATTCAGCAATTTGTTTGCTTGATTTCAAAATTGAGCCCCAATTTGAGGTCACTTTTATTTTTTAATTTTAATTTTTATATTTTATTTTTATTTTGTTTTGTTTATGTTTTCATTTGAATTAAAACATATTTGATTGTGATAGTTATTTTAAAATACTCAAATAAATTTAAGTGTTTTGAGTGTTTTTTAAAATAAGGGAATTTTTTTAAAAAAATAAAAAAATATATATATAAAAATTTATTAAGTGTTTTGAGTGTTTTTTAAAATAAGGGGTTTTTAAAAAAAAAATAAAAGATAAATTATATAAAAATTACATTGGCCAAACATGTTTTGAAAAAAAAAAATAAGCTAAACAAAACAAAAACATACAGAAAAGTGAAGTCGAATCGAGCTGATGCGGGTGCGGGCGAAGAGGGAGCCGTGGGAAAATCCCACGCGTTCTTATGTTTGGACCGAATCGGTTCAGATTCGGGAGGGTTAATTGGTCCTTCCACCGTGGATTAGGACCTCATTTCCATAGGAGGATCCAATATGAGTTATCTAAGGCTTATATATGTGTTTCATTTAGCTTAGGTTTTCAGTTGTTATTAGTTTTCTGTAAAGACTATCACTGGAATCTCCTCATTCCCTCTAAAGATTGTATCTAAAGTCGAGAATGTCTTCTGCCTATAACTTGACATGAGGTGGTGTTTATCTATGGTTCATTACTTTCCACTGCTCGTTTGTTGCCATCATTGCCGTGGTTGTTGCCACTACCCAAAAAACAGTCTTTTGTCATTTCCCTGCAGCCGGCCATCACTATTAGCCCTTCCAATCGCCTCATGCTTGCTAACGGCCACTTCATCCACCTATCTACTTACTGTCGCTCCCTCCCAACCACCTCCCACTTGCTAACACCCTCTTTCAACCACCCCAATTCGTTGACGCCTCTTCCAGCAACCTCCAATTTGTTGTCGGCTCCTCCAACCACCTACCTACTTATTGTTGCCTTCTTCATGTAGCTCCCTTCCAGCCACTTCCAACTTGTTACCACCTTTTCCAACCACCTCCAACTCAATACCGTTCACCAACCAACCCGCTTTACCCATAATTTCTCCTTAAAACACAACCCCGCGGCCTTCAACCTCAACCCTAGTTGAGCTCTTGTTAACTCTTTAAAATTTAAAAATTCCAAGTGTGAATGTTTATTTGCTTTTAATTATAGTATTTATTTTCCCTATTGTGATTTGGGCTTAAGTATCAAGAGGGTGAGTTACCCAAAAGATTGATGCTAGATTAGGTCAACAATATGATGCCAAAAACTAACAAAATATAATCAAATTCAACGGATCCCAATCTGCAAGCGCAACTAATATGCATTAAACCCAAACTATTCCAATCCATTAAATTAAAAGAATATAAGAAAATGCATACCAATCAAATCCTATTTAATTGCATATTTAACACCTAAACCTCATTTTTTACATGTCAATATATGTCAAAATAATAGTATTTTTAATGTGATATGAACGATTTGGATGATATAAATATAAAAAAGTGAATTATAGGTGCTATATAAATAAATAGGAATTGGGTGGTTGTATATAAATATCCCAAAATTAAATTTAATTAGTTCAAATGTGGCAAATGGCTCATTCAATCAAACCAAATGCTCAAAAATGAGTTTATTAGACAGTCTAAAATCGCATCGAAGGCTAAACAAAGCCGGTTGAGTTTTAAACTCGAGCCTTTTTTAGCCCTTTAAAGGCTCTTATACTTCGCAAGAAATGAAGCATATCGAGTCATTCAAACCTGATTTCCTTCATAAAATAAGGACTTGTTCGAGATTTTATTTTCCTTTTATTTTAAAAACATGTTATGGCCAATCAAATATGTTACAACATGAGGATTACAGTAAATGAGACTGATTTCACTAATCATACAGAATAAGACTATTACAACTACTGTTCCAGATTTAAAAAAAATAATGTCAAAATTGGCCAAACTTCATCAACGAACTAAATGATAGATAAAATTAGAGTGGAATCTTGGAAGGAATACCCGTATGCCGGGGATATTTCTTTGGAGTCGCGTACTCTTTAAAACAAATAACAGCAGTTCTTTGACCAAAAGGGCTATGTGATTCCACTGAGGACAAAAGGTAAAACGGCAGGTTAGCTTTTCCAAGAATTTGTTCAGG